ATTTTCTCGGCAAATATTTCATAGCCCAGTATAACTAGCACTGATGACTCTTCTAATGACTCGAGGATATCGATCCTTGCAGCATCTTGATTTGAGGAGCGTACTATGTGAGCCCTCCAGGCATAGATGTTTGTTATAACTTGCTTTACAGTAAACGAAAGTTCCTCCTTGACTTCGGGTAGCAGGTTATCTGTCTGGGTGATCATTGCTGATTCTATTTCGCTGATGAGTTGGTCGTTGCGATCACAAGTGTCGTCATGATGATGGCTGCACTGAGCTTGAAAGGCAAGCTCCTTTGGGTCGCTCAACGCAAACAATCTGCAGTGATCGGCCACAGTAGAACCCTGACACGTGTGAACCTATAATACACACAAAACAAATTACACACGACAGTTCACCAGACCACAATGCATTGCTCATACGTTTTGACGGGCCTGGGTGCCATGTAATTAATATACACGAAAAAAGTAGTCATTGCGAAACTCTGAAAAGTAATGGAAAGAAAAAGAAACAAATTTTCCAGCAATATTTGCGATCTAAAAGAAAATTACAGGACAACTTTTTATCTGACAAAAAAATTCAGCTAGGCTCAGATTGAAGCCTACCTCTCTCGTAAAAGGGTATTTTCGTTCACATGGGTGCATGAGCTTATTCGGTAGAGAAGCACCTTCTACAAACGTGTATTCCGCCTTTAGAACTGTTAACGTGTTTGATAACGTTATAGAATGAATATGAAGAACATTTGCCTTGTAATCTCTTTTGAGGTAACGCTTTCCAAGTCGAAGGCGACTCTGTATATCTTTCGTCCAGCCCATCATGCCTTTTCCCGCGTCTCCAAGTCTTTCTACGACGTCGGATAAGTCTTCAAATGCCTGCGATCCTGCAGAACTAACGTAACCTAAGCTTGAAGTGACTTTCAAACAGAGGCGGGACAAACAGCAAGGATACGCAGAAGCGTACTTCGGCTCAAGGGCTTGAAAAATCCTGTCACAGTCGGCCAAATGCCTTTCAGGAATCATCACGTTTGATATCTTTATAGTTTCTTTGTTGCTAAGCGTTATGGATCTTTCTCCGAATTGTTATCAAGGCCTCACTCGTAAGGACTTTACTGGTCCACCTCTTCCATAATGAGGTAAGGCAATGGCGTTTGGCGTCCGTAAATCGATAGTTGGTCAGACAAGGAATATAACGAAGGAGTTTGGTAAAGCGCACCTTATCTGCCATGATGGAAAGTATTTGGCGACGCTTCTCCCAAGTGTCGGAAGCCTAGTAACATTGGGCAAGTGCCTCCATCAGCGTCACGTCCACGCTGTCTTCATCAGAGTCTTCACCACTGGAGATCTGGCGGCGCACCACATCTGAGGAACACAGTTGCTGGAACGAGGGGCTTGCCCCTTGTGGTGTTGTCTTTTAATACAGCAATCACACCTTTTCCAGCTTTCCGTGTGTAATAACGCTTGGTTCTATCATATTCTTTTGTTACTCATACCATTTGGTTCAAACAATGGCTTAACATCAGTTTAAAATGATAGCATTCTCTTTTTTAGCTACATGCATGTGAAGTATATTGCATACACCTTCAAAACAGGGGCATTGAAATTGAAAACTAACGGTTTTATATTCCTCTTTTTAACTCGTGAATTGATATGAAATCTAGATATGATGTGGAGAAGGCACTCGCCCACTCGCTCGCTCGCTCGCTCGATTGGTCGATCCCTGTAAAATTTTTTTCGTTTTTAGGCTTTTGAGTGCATTGATAGTTTTTGGCGAGTAATAAACAAACAAAATGGCAACCTTTGTTGCTAAGAATGGTGGTGCGGTGAAAAAGAAGCCAGTGATAATCTTAAAAGAGTTTTTTTTTTTTTCGTTTTAGTTTCAACAAGCGGCACCGGCGACTGGCAGGCGTGCGAGGATTCACACTGAATTAAGAGAACAACCTTCGTTTTTCATAAAATTGCAATTTACAATTCTAGAACTTGAAAACAATCCGAAGACTCATTAAAAATATCACTTACTCCGAAGCGCTCGGAGTTTACAGGTGTTCAAAAGCTTTTTCTGTTATGGTGTGAGATTGGGGGCAAAATCGATCATTACATTTCGTATCGTGTGTTTTTCTGTGTGTAGCAACAAAAGGTGCCGGCGTCTGACGAAATTACAGGTTAACACGAAAGTCAAATAACACATAAACAAATAATTTTGGCTAACGATTTTCAGTGAATTTTTAAAGAACAATTTTCTTTTAAGTTTCAAGACAATTTGAAGATTCAAAATAAATATTACATACTAAAATGCGAAAATTATACACCACAAAACTGATAAACAGGCCTGAAATGAAATTCTATCTTGTTCTAGATTATGCATTGCCTAGCACGCGACCAAAATCTACCCAGGCGGAAATCCAAAATGAGGGTGGCAGTCTGTGCTTAGGTATCTCACTAAAAACTCGTTCCCGTTTGTCCCATATGATAGTGAGGGAATCATTAATGTTTTCATAAGGACAATATTGCCTTGATTTTCCAACATTTACAATGATAGACAGAAAAATTTCACTTTTGACCCACATTTACTTCCAACATTTTCTTTTGAACCAGAAACAAAAATGATGTAAGTTTAAAACACATGACATCATCCACCCTTGTCAAATGTAATAGCATGATCATTTCAGTTGTAATGCCTTCTTATCCCAACATTACTTTGTTTCTTTGCTGCATTAGCGAACACTGAACTACTGCTCGTACTCTAAATATGACAATCAACCACAAAATTCCCTAAACCAGATAACATTAAACATAATCCAAAAAATCATGTAAGTCATCTGTCAATTCGCGAGTTTGCTCACAGAGCACTTTGATTTTTATTTCTTGTAATTTTGTAGTTGCACGTAATATACTGTTATTACAGTTGAATTTCAATGTTAAACGTCAATAAATGCCTTCCTATAAAAACACCTGTTAGGCAATAGTTCCACACCCCCCCCCCCCCCCACTCTTATCGTACTATATTTAAAAGACGCCCGGGGCGTTAATTAGGTCGTTTACGCCCCATCTCTATGACAATCAATATGTTATCTAAGTGCTGTTTAATATCGACCTGTGAAATGGCTTCCTTTTTAAAGGGTTCAGTTTATTACAGTTTTTGAAATTGCGGTATGAGTAAAATCCCAACATTTCAATTGCTCCTTGACAGTTTTATTGACGAACGCTCTAGAAAATATTTATAAACATCAGTTTAACCGGCGAAGCTAAACCAAAGAGTCGAAAATAATATCTTTGTACGAAAACGAAAAAATGAATACATAATTAGGCCTCTTGCCTAAAAGAAAGCGCCATCGATAAAATTTCATGAGATCAAACACTTTAATTATCTTTTTTATTATCTAAGAATTGTTTTCTGTTAAACAACGTTTTGAAGGATTTTAAATAGTGGATTTAACTATCTGTGAAGTCGTTCTTCACCACAGATGCACGTACTTGCAGAATTTCGAAAAGAACATTTATAAAAGTAGGAACCAATCAAAATGCGGGCATGACTCAGTGTATTATATGAATTATTATATCACATAATATAATCACATAATATATACAGGGGGTATGCATGCCGAGCCTTCGAGTGTTGATAATAATGCTTTCGGTTAATGTACAATTTCACCAGGAATTATTTTTTCGCTACAGGCAAAAAAATTTTGAAGTTAATAGCGATGAAAAGACTTGTTTCATGCATAGGAGTGGTCACTTTTCTCAACAGAGTTAATTAGCCAATTAAGTAATTTGGGACTGCCATTGGAGGAGCTGTCTTATTAATATTCTGCTGTTGATTTAATTTCACAAGGCTTGGATGCCTCTATTGTGGCTGGTTTAACCTTTCCCTAAGATCTAATTAGTATTTCTCCCCACTGAGTGTCAAAAATTTCTAAGTAAATAAGTCGGGAGAATTTTTCATATCAAGATAATGCCGTTGAGCTTTTAAGCATATGTGTTCTTATAACCTTTTTACAAGTAACATATTGGAATCACAGAGAAAATTTGAATGGGTTACTACCATTTTGACAAGTATGGAACCTTGGTACGCGCGGGTTTCGCGCGCGCTGCGATTTCCACCATTAAGGATTAATCATAAATGCAGCAAGTATAGCAAGTGCGGCCAAACATTTTCATACCCCAGCAGACGGAACCAAGTGACAAACGAGATAGACCAAGCGATCAGTGCGTAAAATATTGACTGTGCACACATAAAACGTCGATGCGGGCAGGTATGATAAAATAATTCGAAGTGCCGCTACAATTATTATCATATTATTATCATATTATTAGCAACTTTTTTTTTTTAATTCGCCTGGTATCTTCGTTAGATAACAGCTGCTGCGATTGTGGGTGGCATCTGTGATCCTGGGTTTCAAAGAACACAGCTGTGCCAATGTAGACAATGATAACTATGTGAAGGAGAAAGACAGAGGTGTTTATAGTACTAGCAATCACCACCTTTAAGTTTTTATTTTGATCTAACACCAAATTCTTGTAACTATTATACAAGAAAATGTGTAGTAGTTAGAGGGGAGAATTAGCAACTAGATCTTGGGAGTTCAAGGGTTAACAGCGCTCAATAGCAATCGCGCGTGAATATAACTGATGTGATTTCACTGTACCCCTCAAAAATGGTTCGAAATAGTTTTGTTGGAACAAATCCTACAACAGTCCCAGCGATCGTAACCTTTACATATACCCCGAAAATCTGCTTAATATATTTGTAGAGATACCATACCATTATTGCAGGATAACTGGTGTGTTGTCGTCATAAAATAGTTGCAACGAAATGAACTGAAATTCTGCGAAAAGAAAAGCTTTATTTTTAACTATTTGCCATATAACTCTGAAAATGAGTTCAAATAACGAATTGTTGATAGAGACGTGACACCGTGTGTCCATGTGACTCAAAATAAATTCAGAAGTTCCTTTTTAAACCCTGATTATAAAAGTTACGAGCACTGATCAATCACAACCATGTCAAGCAACAGAGGCCAAATGTTTCATGCAAATCTTGATCCTCAACAACTTTGATCGTTGTTGTTCTTCATACCGTTCCTTTTTTGACTGGCTGTTCAGTCCAGTCCATTCCATACTTTCGTCGGATGGAAAAGCGCGTGTCAAGAACTGACCTATGGCGCTCTTGATAACCAACTCCGGCGTTTGACTCATCATACGAACGGGTTTGCGGCCGGGAACTTCGTCCTCATTTTTGGCTGCGACTTTTGAGTACATCAAGAGGAATTCTCGAAACATGTTCACTTGAGCTAAGGTTTTGGCTTCGTCTCTCTTACGCACAATTTCGGGACATGACATCGCGGAGACTTTGCGCAAGATTTTTCGACTGGTTAAGTTTGGAACGTAACCCTTTGCGGTAGCTGGTCGAATGACTCTTGTCTCGTCCGTTTGCAGATCGACCTTGCGCCTTCTCAAAATTGGAGAGCTCAAGGTTCTCTGCGTCATTTGTGATACTGAACTTGTGCATGATCTTGCGGACGAAATACGCCTTGCAGATATTATTCCTTGCTCTTGGCGTGAGATTTTTCGAGAGCGTGTTCGATTTTGTCTTGAAGTTATTGGACCTTGGCATCTATCTACGCCCGAGGCAAACGTTGCTGCGCTCATTACTCTCTCTTGATTTACGGAAACTTTACGAGGAGTCGCCGATTTCACACTTCGGATTTCGCTGTTGTCCCCGACCTCTGCAACACTTACGCTTTCAGGTACTTGTTCTTCTTCGTATTTGTCAGCTCTCTCTTCAAGCGACTCGCCTATTTTGGGTTCAACATTAACCATTTCGTATCCTGATTCAGACTTGACAAATCTAACACTACTTTTTCTTCTTTTAATGATATTTTGTAGTGACTCTTTTAACTGTGGATCAGTAAATTGATTCAATACTTCCTTTTCGTCGCACGAAATCTCTTCGGGAAGCATTTTTCGCTCGCCGACTCCACTATTTTCTGGATCTGAGCAAGTACTTAGAAATATCTCTTCTTTGCAATTGGACATTTCGAATTCTATATTTGATCTACGCTCGCTGTCACTTTGTTCTCTTGAGCTTAAGTTTTCTGATACGTAAGCTTTCGACTGAGAATTCTTTCTGATAGTCATGTCGGAATTATCCTTACAACTGTTATCAATTGAAATAAGCGGAGTGGAAGTGGTCGTGTATCGGCTATAAACACTCGGCTTATTTTTTTGTGGGCGATTCAGCGTTGTGTGTTTTTTAGTGTTTAATGGAGTCTCTCGCGGTTCCTTCCTACAGTACTTTTTGTCTCTGTCAATTCTCTTGCTTCCTACTCCAGATACAACACTCGAAATTTTACCCGCAGAACATCCAAGCCTTCCTGCATCTGGTTTCTTTGACGTTAATTGACTATTCCTGTCACCAGTCTTGTGGCCTTCGATTTTCAACTGGCTTTGCAAACTTTTGCGCATAAAATTCATTTCATGAATTACTCCATGAGGGTCCTTTTTCGCTCCTGATGAAAAGACGTTATGTGTGTTTCCAACCTGGTTTAATGCCTCCAAAATGGCCGCTTTCTTCGCGGTGTTTGCAATCATCTTTTCACGGGCTAAGTTTAATCTGTCCACAACATTTCCCAATGTAATATTTTCATCCTGCAATTTACACTTTAAAGTGTTGGCAGGCCTTGGCTTCGTTTCCTTACCGTGTGATGTCATGATTTCCAGGAATTGAAATGGTTGAAGAGATTCTTTCGTAAACAGGACTGTTATTTGGAAATATTTATCATTGCCGTCTCGAGACTGAGTGTTAACTCTTTACTTTTCAAATTGTGTCAACCAACATTGATCTCAATCGATAAGTTCAGGTGTTGTAATTGAATGGTTTTTCTTTGTTGTCAGCTTTTACGTCGGTTGCTATACGCTTTGGAAAGGCATAGCAACTAATCTACATCAGCGCTGCAATTATCAAAACGCTTCCTTTTCAAACCAACGTAAATTCCTGACTCGAAAAACCGGATCTTAATCAAAGCTGCACGATTTCCCAGTCGTTACGTCTACGATAAATATTCAATGGCGAAGGAGTTGATGTAAAATTAGCTTCGCCCTTAAAGTGTTTCATCTAATTGAAGCTCATTTGCACTGTTTTTCTCTCGAACCGAAGATTAAGTCATTCAATTGTTCAGACATCGGACGGTTGTTTTCGTCTTTAATGCCTTTGTTATATATTTGCATTATTGGACAATGTGATTTTAGCATCGACGCCTTGAATGCTTTGTTTTCGCCCCAATTCTGGTTGAAAAGCTATTTACAGATGTTGAAACTTAGCATTGTTATAAACAGTTTTTATATACGCACTTGATCTTGCTTTTGAAAGTCTGTTTGAGAAGCTACTTTGCCTGCACTCATGGTTTGTGAAAATGCACGAGATTTTGACTGAATACGGCCCAAAGAAATTGCTTTTGACAAGTTTTTTGAAAAGTGATTTACAAGGTGTAACCGTTAAATAAACAATCGCAGTAATGACAACAACAAAGATGTCTTCGTCAGAGCAAATGGACTGACTTATTAATTTTCTTTTCAGTGACGTATGCCGATAAAAGTCGAAATAGCTCAGCAGTTTTCAAAATGGAGACTCTCCCGATTACTCCGTAAACTTTTTCAAAGTTAATCAGTTCATATTTTCTCTATGCCCTCTCAATTGATAATAATAATAACACAGTCTATGTTCTCGGGTCCTTATATGTTTTGGGCCCTTCTTAGAGCTCATTTTAACCTCCGCCTAACGGCTCGGGGTATGATGACTCTGTGTCGGGAGGGTACACTCAAAACATGTTTATGCCCGCGAGCATAAACTCTCTCGTTTTATTACCTATAATTATAAATACCATAAATATTACCTTCGAGGACTAGTTGTTTACGATATTGAAATGATGAGCTCCTCGGATTTTGGTCCGAATTTTCATTAAGCTCTCTTCTATTTGAAGAAATGCGGTACTTGTCGTTAGAACGATGCTCTGGACTTTTCATAAACTTGGATTTTAGAGCAGAACTGATCAAACCACGAAGCACGATTAACTTTTTATCGGAAAGCTTTCGTCACGATAAATTTTCACTACATGTGATTGATCTAGCTCTTTGCCACACATGGCAAAGCATCCGAACGGCAATCAGGAGGCTTGGGTTCGAATCGTCAATCGGGTTACTTTCATTTCGTTTCGTCACAAATGAATTTACATCTCTCCTCACGGCCAAGTCGTGTTCCTTGTTTAATGAGCGGACACTCGTGGCTGACAATTTTGTCTCCTTTATCCAGAAGTTTCAATAACTTTTTCCATAGGCGGCTACCGGTTTTGTTATAGGCGGCGGTGCAATCAGGCGAAACCCAAACACGGTACTGAGAGGCCTTACAGTCGGCGGTAGATTGCTAGTAAAGCTGGTGTTTCCTACTTTAATAACCCTTCGTTGGCCCTTTGTCCAACGAAGGGCCAAAGCTAGAAATGTCAGATTTGTAAACTCTTACAGTGGCAAATTTACATTATCAACTCAGTTGAGAGAACTAAATTATATTGCAATCACCGACACAGCACCACAGTTTCTTTAGAAACTTACCCCTTTATCTAGTAATGGCGTAGCTCACCATAGAGTTATCTATAGCACAGTGGCAGAGCATTGGGGTGCCAAGGCCGAAGATTAAGGTTCAATTCCACGTGAGAAACTCGGAAATTTTCTTGTCTCAGGTCCGTGTCAAAAACAGTTTTAGCTTTCTCTTTTCGAAGATCGCGCTTAGAATTTTTCAATCTTTCTTATCCCAGTTTTCAACAGATTTGGCCAAAATAGGTTCGAAAAGATCTTAGGACGCAATCAACCGCAATGACCAGCTTGCAAATTGTAAATAAACTGAGAAGTTTAAAGTTGTGGTTAAGTGTTTTGAAATGCCAACTTTTCCCTTTGTAAGAAACTGCCTCTTATTTACCCGTTACCTCGCTTGAGAACTAATGAATTGCTTCCGTTCTGTACAAGGCACTTTATTAACTGTCCAAGCCCTTTTGTTCGGAGAGCTTTGTACAAACAATAGTCGAAAAATCTCCAGAGTGATGCGTGTCAAGTTATGCAAACACGACTCACCATGTGTTTGTTTTCCGTCTGCCGTAGTAACGAGGAGTAAACAGTTTTTTACAATTTAGCAGTGGTTTTTAGAACTGGAGGAATATAGCTAACCTCAGTTTCTTCCTAAATTAAGGAATCTTTTGATCTAAGCTCGGTTGGAGTGGAAACTTTTCAAGATTCGTGTTACAGGCGTGTTTTAATTAATTGTTATTTCGCGTAGTTTGGTTTAAAAAATGTCATTTGACTTGCCGCAGTTTCAGCAAACTTTTGGGGAACAAGTGCGTGAAATGCGAGAGCCCAGTGAATGGATGGATCTTAAAAGCCGAGTTGAAGAGGAGAAATTCCGAAAATTAAGCGCCGACTTGGAAAGAAGACGAGTTCGAAGGTCTGTCTATTATGCCGAGGAAGAGAAAAGAGTTCTCAGGGAACTTGACAACTTACAGAGAGACCAATATCGATTTGAGCGCGAAAAACAACTCCGACTGAGGAATTCAATATCGTCCTTGTACGAAAAAGGGCATCCGGCGAACGGATCGCCAATAGAAGTTAATACTCAACTACCAATGGACCGAAAAGCATTTGGTGGGTCGGCGTCCCTTGCATTTGATCCTGCCGTTGAGAAGAAATCGCGATCTGCCAGAAAAGCAAGAAAAGAACATTCTGTGAGTTACAGCGCGACGGGAAAGGTATCAAAAAAATACTCATTGTTCAACAGGTTTCCTTTTATCGAGGAAGGAGATGTACAGCAATTTTACAAGTCCTGCAAGTCTGCTGCGAAGATCGAGTGTCGGCGATGGGGAGAGGCTTGGTTTTATGCTAAAAATGAGCAAGAGGTATTTGTGGATAGCAGAAAACGATGGACTGCTGTTTTACTGAAATCCGAAAGAGAAAGAATGAAAATTTTAAGTAAAAAAGGTGCGGCATTGATGGATTCTGGGACAGGCGTAAAAACCCACTGTGTCGGTGATGAAACAAAAATTTATGGAGATACTGAGACGGAAAGCGATACTAAAAAAAGACAAGGAAGTCTACCTCCTAGTTTTAAAGCGAGGAAAGAACAAAGTTATGACAAGAATAGAAGCGTAGAAATCAAGGGAAACAAAACATTAAACTTTTATGAAGCTTTTAGTCTTCCACAAGCACACACGTTCAACACTGGAGAGAGTTCCGTTGACGAGACAACGCGAAACACAGACAAGTCGATCTCTGAGGATTGTCAAGAAGTTAGCATCAATTCGCTGCAACTGATTGCAGGGGAAAAAGTGGTAAAATGGGCGAAGAAAAGTCGAAGTGTTTCTTCTGAGGAGAATAGGAAAAAATTAAAGGAAACCTCAGTGATTCCGATGCCTGCTATTCACGAACTTGTTCTAGAGGGAAAAAATTCAACTTCAGGAGAAAGTTCTAAAACCCTTCCCCGACGTAAACGAACCTTCTGTTTTTTGCCAAAGGTAACGAGGGAAACATGAAGTTTAAACTTCTTGAAAAAGGCGTTTGATTTTCCCGGTTATTTTATTTATCTTTGGCTAACAGGGGATTTTGAAAACTCTGAGATATTTCAGTGGTCTAACTGATAATTAAAAAACTTGACTGGCGTGTTTCGGGCGTACAAAGGAGTTATGACTGTATTCTTGGCTTTTATCTTTCTTTCGCTTATTGATAGATACAGGTCAATTGATAGCTAACAGCAGCTCAAAATAAATGGGAAAATTTCCAAATATCTAAAAAGTTATCTGTGTGCGTCACAAAATTTAATGACATCGATTAAAATAAATATTTTTGTCGGAACTTACATAAGAAAGGGGTGGGTTTTAGTGCAAAGTTAATTGAAAAAAGTTTTTTCCCTAAGGTAATGTTTCTGTCAGTTTCGTGCTGGTTTGTTTGTTATTTATTTAGCGCTTTATTTCGCCAGTTCACTTACAGATGTAAACGAAGCGCATGTTAAGACACCTATTAACTTTCCATTCTTTTCAGTTTTCGGCTTCAAATTTTAATTAAAGATTTACATGCCTGGTTCGTAATGTATCTTGACGACGCACAGTTATTTTAATAGCTGAAATTAAGAGACGAAAATGGTACTTGAAATTCTGCAATTAGTTGTCGGAAGAAAAGAAACTGAATTGTTTAAAAGCACCTGCCACAGAGGGGGGCAAAAAAAGAAGAATAATCTACGTTTCCCAGTTCAAACTGAAGCAAGCTCCGAGTTTGCTAGAGAACTCGTTTGTGTACCGAGCTATAAACTTGGTTCCTGCTCATTTAGGGCATATAAATCGTGCAAACTGCTAGGATCACTGGCAGAGCACGCACCTGAAACTGAAATCGGAAAAACGTGGAATCTGTCTAAATCACACACCTGCCACTGAAATCGGTAAAACGTTGAATTTTGTCTAGAGCTTGCTAATATTTGGGTGTGCATATCATTAACAAGACCACGTTCAATTCAGCGAGCCAAGTGAGGCAGTGGTGCCATTCTAGACAAACTTTAAACTTTAAGGGAAAGGAAAGTAAGAATAAATGCAAAACAAAACAATCGGCTACTGAAGTAACTGATTAAACGAAGAAGTGCGTCAAAATTCGTGTGTGAGTAATTTAGGCGGAATATGGTTCTTCTTTTCCACCTCACAAGGACATGAGCGTCGAATTTCTAGCATGCAGTCAGACCTACTCTCTTCTTCAATTAAACATTTTATTTGGCGAAGTAAGGTTCGAACCCTATTTCTCGATCAAATTTGCCGTGCCAAGTCTTAACTCAGGGATAAAATGACAAATATAGCTCACTTTTCTAACTGAGATTTTGACCAAATCTTACGTTGCCACAGCAAGAAGTTAAATTATTTTACTTTGCCTTGTTATAAATGAGTTTATGTATTTTCATTTGCAAAGTGCACAATGCAAGTGTTAAAAATCGATTGTAACCAATTTGAAAAAGGTTTAAATGGGCGTTTTCTATAAAGAAAGGTGAGGATTTAGGAAATTATCCTAACACATCACTCTCTTTAATTCAGCAAAAGGAAAACAAGACTTCAAATAATTTTTGCTTTCCATCAGGGATTGTTATGATAATTAGTTTTCTGCACTGGTGGCGCGATAAAAGTTTGTTTACGTCGATGACAGATTTCGGTGCATTAATTTTTTCCATATGCATGGCCTTGTTCCCTTAAGGCGGAATATGGCAATTATTTTATTTTGGTTCTATCTTTACACTTAATTTTTGGCAATTCTCCATGTGAAAAAGCCTTTTGGTTGTTGCCCTACCTTTGAACCAATCATTTAAATTAATGTTCCGAAACTCTGATATAAAAACAAATCTCAATTTATGTATTTTCTTCAGACTGTCATTTCTTTACCAGAGCACATATTGATGTATTCTTACTGTGCTTATGGCTCGTGTTCCTCACAGCTTTTATAGACTTAAGTGACGTTTGCGTTCAATTTGGCTTCGTCGAACGAGATTATGATCTGGAGGCTGTTCAGCTTGATATGAATATTTCGATAGGTGGTAACCTAAATTGGTCATTTGCCGTCGATGATTGATGTTAAGATAACAGAACAATGGGAAGGGAAAATGTTCATTGAAGCAGCTGTTCTTGCGGTTTGTTTCACGAACTGTTTCAACGACACTCTTTGCGGTGACTTTCTGCATCCACGTGTCCTTACACACATATCCGTGTCGATCCGTGGAACGTTCTGAATCAGCGTGAACGTGCGTTACTGGAAAAAGCGTTGAACGTAATACGAACCTCACACAATACAGGGAATGTTACGGTTTGTTTGATTATCGCCTAGGGCGGGTTGAATAAAGCATTCCGACCACAAACCAATCAGATTCTAGAAAGTGCGGAGAAAATGGGGAGGTCGCGAAATTCAAATACGTGCTATGAGTGGTACGAGATGTTAATGACAGTGTGAGTAGCGTTCTGAAAGCGCTCTACAAAGATTAGCTTTTTTTAATATTGTGAACGCATTGCAGCAAAAATGGACTACCGAGCTAATTGTTTAAGTATCTTTAACGTCAAGTGGTAAATTTTGAGTACACAGAAAATATATCAAATAAGAAAATTAAAGAGATTCTATGATCAGTTTTACCTGATAATAAGCTGAACTATTTCCTTTAAGATATTGGACTTTTCGAATTAAGTTTCTTATCAAAAATATCGTATTTTTGTTGAGCTTTTTGAATTATTTTACTTTGAAAACGTTGAAATTTCAAAATAGCCCGAGAATTTAAGCGTCATTCGTTTAAATATACCATGGTTTTAGCTTGAAGCATTTCAAAGGGGTTTGTTGTGATATTGTTGTGACTTGTTTGGATAAAAAACAAAATGAACCAAATACATTAAATATGATTTTTCATTTATTTTCATTTTAAGTTGCTTACGGGCGTATTTTTGCATTCATATACCTCTCTTATGAAATTTTCTGCAGCCCTTTTGTAAGTTTCTCATGTAAATATTTTAGTCCTCCCCGCTAAAGGAATATATTTAATACAAGTGGTAAAATGTAAGAAAAGTTTTTAATGGCGCACGCTGACTGCGTTGAAGCGCCGAGCTGGACCAGCTTACAGATTAAAGTTTCTGTCTCGCTTTCAATCTTTGTTGTTTCGCGGTTGTCATAATAATGAGAGGCATTAAATTGTTCTTCAGCGACAGGGGAGGTTGCAGTTCTTTCCTGCAGAGTTCCACCTTTGTCATGATTGTGAATTAATTTGTGATATCTCATCTAAAGCGGACCAAAGTGAAAAAGCTTATTTTTCTCAATATCCGCCAGAATGCCTACCGGCACAGGCGAAAGTATCCGCATTTGACTCCCCTTTTTAATTGTATCCTCTAGCAAGCCGAAACTGTCTCGAGTATCTCCTATAAACTTTATTTGCTTTGGAAATAACAAAAATAATTACGAACTGCGGGATATAGAGGTTGTACCCAGAAATTACAATTTTTTGAATCACGAGCGTTTGGTTTGTAAAACTTGTCACATCGAGAAAAAGATATCTTAGCTAATTGAAGACATGGTCCTTTTTTATGTATTGCCATCTCTGGCTCCGAAATATTTTAAGTTTAGCTTTAGAGACTATATTGATTCTTAAATGTACTAGCGAGACGGTTTTTCTGAACTTTTTTCGGCATCAGACTTGGCGTTAGTTCACTTTCCAATCCGAATCTGTGTCCTCCACTATGTCAATATATTCGCTTACTCATGATAGTTTGTCACCAGGTTAAAAGGAGGCAAAGTGAAACCAACCCTAAAATTATTCCGTTCGCATGGTGTCTGCTCCATGATTAAGAGAACCGCATTTTGCATCTTTTAATTGATGTAAGAAGCGTAGACTCGCTCTGCGTTTACCTTATCTTCGTCACTATCATAACATTCGCTTCGGCTACATGAAGTTCTGGATGCAAATTCTTGATCATTTTTAAAGTCATCTTCGTTTTCTAATGGAGTAGGATTTGTCGGTCTTTCCAAAGCGTCCTCAGTCGCCGAAAAAATCAACTCGTTACATTCCCCCGTGCTTCTCGAGCGGATGCGCGGGTTCGTTTCCGTGCTACTGCTACGACTCGGAGCTACACGTCCGTACGACGCGCGTGGCCTCTCGCGATCTCGAGGCCGAGCGATTTTTGGCGTGCTGTATATGTCTGGAACTTTTGGCTTGCCGCCGAGTGATGCAGGTTCCTCGAGCGCACGACATTCCTTTCCTTTCAAAAGCGTCGGCCTGCTCAGAACAATGTCGTCCCCCGGCCTGTGTTTTCGCTGGCTCCTGTGTGGGTCAAATTGATCCAAAGAATCCAGCATTTTGCCATTCAGTGGAGGGAGTCTTTTCAGCTTGTCACTGTTAATATTCAGAACCGGATTTGCTGGAGTTTTAAGCAGTCTTTCTTGCTCAATAATCAGCCTTAACACTGCAGTTGATTCTTCGTCATTAAATTTGCTCCGCGGTGGAATTCTACGATAGTTATCAGTTGTATTTTCCATCCTTCATCCGTTTTGTTTTATCACTCATTGCCAGTAAATTTTATTCATGTCGTTCTTTAGCCTGTGAAAGGAAAAATCTTTTTAATGTCAAGATGGTTGAAATATTGACAACCTTACGCCGGCAATTAACACTAATATTTTCTCGTGAAATAAAAAATAAGGAACTACTGAACCAATTTCCATATTTTCAAAATAAGTGTCAGTTAAAGATACCGAAGAACACAAAGTAAAAAACATGTTTTCTTCGTTCTGTGTAAAACTGTCTTATAGACTATAACCTTGCCATCATGTTTCTGTATGGCCCAAAGACAAGTTGAAAATGAAGGCAATTATAACCTCAGAAAATACCTGTCAAGTTAAGCTTATGCTTCTGAAGACGAAATTGGCGGATGAATTAAAAACGTGATGGTGACATTTCGAAGAGGATCTCGAGCACCGGTTTTATTAACACAAGAAATCCGCGGCTACGTGACCGAATTCGAGATGTGTAGTTTTAGTTGCTGTGAAAAGCGTCTCTTGAATGTTACATATCCTTGCTGGCGAATCGACTTTTGTGTGTCTATGGCAATTAGTTTTTCATTTACGCTGCATTCTTTGTCACGTTAATTAGGTGCAAAAAAACTCACCATGTTCAACGCTGTATGCTATTATGATCGAGACTGATCAACTTGACTCTGGATAGGATTCCCCTTTTACCATCATAAGCACTTACTGATAAAAGACGACATTTCTGCCGCTAGATATCATAATGGAATGACTCCTTCGATGTATGCGCTTCTTTAAGGGATCCCCGCAATGTTTTCAAAAACAAGCATACTGCGGACAGGTGCAGGAAAGGCGCCACACTGTTTTTCTTACTTGTAACCATAGCGACAAAACAATGAGTCGCCGCTTTTTCCTCACAGAACTCAAAATTTGATCAAATTTTTAGCTTTTCGATAGCTGCAAAAGAGTTTTGTTACCACCATCGGGGGTGAAAATAAAGTGGGACCTGGCGCTGATTTTTACTGTTTTCGAGCGCTCAAAGGCAAGATACTTATGTGATGTGAGAGATTTGCAAAATTCAATTTCTCTCTTATGTCAAGTTTGTGTCAGCTATTGTAAACAACTTACGCAGCTACACAAATTTTGTATTTCTCGATTGATTGTTTGATGGTTAGTATAGCCTCTAACCATTAATTAAGTTCATGAAAGGGGTAAGGTAGTTGGAAAAGTAGATTTGAAAACCGTTAATTTTAAAGGACAAGTTTCCCATGCATAGTTTTGTCATCTGGCATGTAATTTTCTGCTTCTTTAAAATCGCATCAACTAAAATCATATATTTTGGGAGCAATTACTGGATTACCATAAACGCTTTGTTTATCCTGAAGATTTTAAAATTTTTTTAATTCATTCCTTGTGTGAATTTCTGACGAGATTTCGCTTGAATAAAAATAGAACCTGCCGTGAAAGACTGAATTCTCAGAAAATGATCATGTTTCCGGAAAGAAATGCATTTGAGAAGGATCCAATTTCACTTTATGTCTGAATGGATTGTCTTTCCCTTCTGACAAGTTTCGCAAAAGTGGTAAATGTATATGTGTTTTAAAATAAAATTTGCTAAAAATTAGTTAAAAAAACCCCTGCTAAGGCACTTCCGTCACATAATTTTACCGTCGCGCTGTATGTTGAACAACTTTTCTGGAAGGTTCGAGGTTATTGCGAAATAGAACTTCTCCACAGGACATTGATATATTTCCCGTTGGCAAGGTTAAAAAAGAAAAGCAAAACAAACTAGTGGACTCCTTACCTTCAATAGACTGAGTAAATCAACAATTAGATGGAGCAGCGTGTTGGGAAAATTTTCATAACGTTCCGTCGCCAGCTTCGCAACTCCGCTGCTTCCACTTAAAAATTTCGGAAGACACTCCAAGAATCGGCGACTATTTTAATCTCGAATTGAAAGTTTAGTATGAATACTGTACAAAGGCTTTCCGGCACTATCTGATATCAAGGTCTGACTCCCGAGTTTGTATACGCACCTCTAGAAAGAGCCTCAGTTAAGCAGGATTGGCTTCGAACTACATCTACAGTCAAACAAAAACTATTTCATTGTTAGTTGTTTTGAAGTTTCTTTTGTTTCCACGGTATTAAGCGCTCAAGATTCAACTTCTTTTTGCCAATTTGATAGCTTACACGTAACTGAAGCGTTGGTTCTGGAAACTATTAAAAAAAGCGGAAAAGTGAGATATTCAAAGATTGCGTACATCGCCCCTGGGGTTGCTTTAGAGATCTGAATACATCCGTGAGGAGAATATACACAACATTACCAGCACTCATGAGCTAAAATGTTGTACGAGATAGAGTCGAGTTTGTAATTAAACTTTGGTCAACAACTTTTTTTTTTTACAAATTTTGGTCAATACGCCATTTTATCGCCTGCCAAGAAATACACAGAAAGGCGTTGAACTGAAGTACCTTCTGAAAGTTAAGTGTATCGTAGAATAAAGAAAATTAATTTGTTCACAAGAAGACCTGTTATCATAACTGCTGCAGGTTATTTTTTTCCCAATGTTCAAATTATTGGTTTTTGTCAAAGTTGCATAGATATAAAATATTTACAATAGTTTTTTTGAGATATCTTTTGGTAACTTTTCTGTTCTTTTAACATCGGGTAAGCCTTACCGCAGTCTTTCGTTTAATTTAGATTTTCAGATAGTTGCATGCCGCTTATTTAGTCTATCTTCAGGAAAAACATAGCTTTAGGCTAAGTTTTTCGATTGGAATCATTTAAGTGTACTTTCAAGGGTATTTAGATTGTCCAATCGTAATTCAAAGCACGAAAATCCCTGCTGAAAAATGGTGATATTTTTTTACTCTCACTTAGGATAAAATTCGCTGTCGGTCATTAAGTGGGAGCCTGCGGTTAATGAGTGAACGTGCGCGGTGCCCATATTTTTCTCTTGCTTAAATTTACAACTACGTTCGTTTGCAGAATGGATTATAACGAACAGCAGTGGCCGGCAGAATTTAGTTTGTTCCCCAAGAGGCCACCCATGCGCGGTGGTTACCACAAAGTCAAAATAGTGATAGTGGCAAAGACAAGGGGTGGATTGTTTTAAATTTTCTTTCAAACGGAAAATTTATGAATCTTTTCGTTTTAAATGTAAACCTAAGCCACTAATATTGAGTGAAATTTAAAAACAAGAAAGGTTATTTGAATAATAGACAATGAGTTTACATATCATGGAGGAAGGAACCAATTCATTTTCTTTTTTTTTTTTTGTAGAGAAATCGCTTTTGAGATTTAACATTTGTTTGAAAAGAAAGAGAATACATTTGGTGAAACAATTACGTTTTTCTTAGTCCAGAGTTTAAATCGTATAAAGCGCAATAGCTAACTAGATATGTTTCCGTTGTTATAGAATGCAAATGTATACCTTATGGTATGCGTTGATGTCTGTGGCACGGAAAGCTCTGAAAATACGTTTTTTAGGTCGATGTTTCGAGCCTGAAAACCCACCTTGACCGGTGCTCTAATTTTTCTGAAAATTGTCCCTTTTTTTAAATAAACTTTATCTCGAGGCCGTTATACATAACGCAAAAAGTCGACGAATACACTGTTCAATTTCTTGTAAAAATGAATGTGGCATCTTAGAGACACTATTGACGAAAAAAACTATTATTTCTTTGTCAATGAAACATCTTAACTTCTAATCAGTAAGATAAAGTATGTGTGGCAAAGTATTGAAATAAAAGTAAATTCAAGAAATTCCTCAGCTTACCTTAAACAATTCCAAGAGAACTATGTTTCAGCGGACATAAATAAAACCTCCTGAGAGAATTTATTCATTCGCTAAGACCAATCTATCGTTAAATAATTCATGTTGTATTTTCCGTGTCGAGTATGAAACATTAACTCGTATGTTCTAGACGTCAGAAGAGGTCATTAGTAGTGGAAAATCCATTAATTCAGACCTATGTTTATAAATAAAGCGAGGAAATAAGAGCCTCCCTAATGGGCCATCTTTCATTCGGTGACTTCTTGGCGCCAAACCAATAACAAAAACTACTCATGCTGCTCCTTTTTAAGGTTGAAAAAAGGAATATATAATAAAGGATTACAAAAAAAGGCAGACACGGTTTCATCACAGGTGGATGAAATTATAATTGACTATGCTGGAAAATAGCAATTAGAAATGTTTTGACAACTGGTATGATAATTTGATAAAAGGCATTTTATAGCGGCTAAATTTAACAGCGTTATTTAATCAGCCTCATGAAAATTGTGTAGGAATAACGTTTCTTTTCACGCGGATGAGTTATGAATGTAGTCTCTAATAACTTTATCAACCAAATAGTTCAGACATTATCAAGAGTATTTCATCTGCTTTTGGACATTACCTATACAACCGAAAGACAGAGCAAAATTGAAACTTCTCGCTACTAAAATTTGTTTTATTCCTCTCCATTGCAACTCAAAATTAGTAAGGAATTGTTGTGCTAGAAATAAATTTTTTCATATTTACACTGAAAAGGCCATATATTATTCCAAAATTGTAAAATATTTCCTTATCATCAGTTGCTAATAAATTCAGTACGTTACCCCTCATATCGTCACGATTCACCCCTCTTTTGCCTCCAAGAGAAGGCTTATTTAACTTCTATAAAATTATAGGCTGTTTCAATTTCGAAAACTGAACTTCCATAAAGCGTAGTTTAGTGTGGTCGATCTATTGATGCTGACCGAAAGGAAAGTGGGCTCAGGTGTAAATGCTTCGTCAATTCATTGTGACATCGTGTATCGCGTACTTGAATCAGTTGAAGGAAATAATATCTGGCGTCCAGAACATAACTCTTACACCGTTGAAACTGGCTTTGATTAACTTCTTACTAACCGAGCGTGAGGGCCCTACTGGGGAATATCGTCCCGAAGTTCTTGGCAGTACGGACCGAGCGGAGCTAGGTCCTTACAGAAGCGACCGAGGGTCAACTTTCCCTTGTACGAATCGAGCAAGCGAGGTTAGTAAGTAGTAATATATGGCACTCGGACCAAAATTGTTTATAGTATATTCCGGCTTTTGCGACCAAAAATACACAGCACAGGACCGTTTCCGTGAAAACGGCCCGTATGCCAAAAAACAGACCGAACATGAACCAATCAGTACGCTCGGATTTACCTCAAGACTACCTTGCCAGGTAATAATTTGACTAATTGTATAGCGAATGTTTGAAAGAGTTATATATGGGAAATGGTTACTCACTCGTCCATGATAGCACGTAACAACCATTAAGAAAGGCTTACCAGATTTGATTTCATTTTATAGCGAGCGCTTGAATGACTTAATGGGAAATTGTCAGTCACTTGTCCATTACTTAAGTTTTGCATCGCTAAACAACAGCCTTATTTTGCATCTGTGCATGAAGCCAGCTGCACGTCTTCGACTTCTTTACAGATTTGGACTCGCATGTGGGTAACAATGGATTCGTTCATTTTCGCCTCGCAAACGCATTTAAAACTTTTCAATCAGATAAGATTACTTATTACTCATGATATTTAATCTGTAAATGACGGATTTATTGATAAGAGTTTCTTTGTTCAGTCTTTGTGGAACAGATTATTAAGCAAGAGTTTAAACTAATTGCTAATGTTGTCACATAACAATTCGAACAGCGACTAATCAAACCTTGTAATAAAAGTTTAAGTAGAATTCATTTTGCATATTAACTGAATTTAAAAGTTGTAAATGAAGATGGTGAATTTAAGCCTGGTATTTTAAATAAAATAAGATGATATTCAGTGAATATGCTCTAAATTTTTGACTCTGAATTAAGCGCTCGCTGACATGCAACTTCAAGTCACCATGAATTTTTCCCTAGGTTAAACGGAAATATTGATTAATAGTTTTGCTTATCGTTTTAGGCTCTTTAATCACTTTCAAACTCTTTTCTCGACAGCAGTTCATCCCTACTACCTCCATATCGTTATTTATAGATAAGGGTGGCGTCACAAAGCATGAGCGTTCTTCAAAATTTAAAGTTCACTTCGAATAGATTACCATAGAATTTACATGACTATCCAGCGTTCATCTACACTCAATTCTTCCTAATTGGCACCGAAAAACCGTTTTAGAAACTGTAAGAACGAAATTTTTTATACTCACAATGGTAGTATGACTCCTTTATCGGATAGCCGTGAAAGTCCTCCAAAAATTACTAGATTTCCGAGCAAGCTTTCTTGATTGTCGTCCATGTAGACAATTCTCGTAAGTAAGCGCTGCCTTAACCAGAAGAAAACAAAGTTTACCGCCTCTGATGTACACCTGTACTATGTGATTAAAGTTAATCCCTTTGTTGGGATACCGCGTAAGATTTGTTGCAACTTCATTACAATTTTGCGGGCGTTTGCGGTGGGATACAACGAAGTAAATATTTCGAATTTCTTTGAAACAAAAAAGTGATCGCGTATTTGTTTCCCAAAGTATTTCAAGTCTCTATTATAAACGTTTTACCTTTTCACTTGTGAAATTTTTTTTCTACCGATAACGAGTGCATTTAATAACGTGGAGAAATTCAAAATTTAATTTTAATTATTTCCTCTATGACACACCTTAGTGTTAGGTTGTCGTACTGGTGTCACTTCCTACCCTGACTTGTTAACACTTCCCTTTTCTGTTTGTTCGGATGGTTGAATTAAGAATAGTGTCAACAAAGTAGATTGCTTTTCGGATAGATATCACTATGCAGGTAACAGTGGGGGTAGCCAAGGAAACCGCCTTAAAAAGTTACACACTTCAAAGCTAATAGAACAATGGTTTTCGGGAACATTTTTTTGTCAGTACTAACAACTCGCCGCGCATCATAATCAAAGTCGGCTAGTTTTTTTTTTCGCACTGTCTGCTGTTAAAATATATTTTCTTGGAAGTCATATTTGGAACCATTCGAAACTGTCTGTCACTCTTTAAGTTGTCTGCTGAACGTTATGTTACGTATATTATGCTGATATTTTTATCGAGTTTTCTTGTTATCCGGGAGCTGTAAACCAAAAGACAATAACGGGAATGGTCCCACCATCTTCTCTTTACAACTACATTCGTTTGCAGAATTGTAAATCTCACAGTGACGAGCATTTATCTTTTCGAGAATTCTCTTTTTGTGTTCGATTTTGAGTTCGATGTTAATTTTTTTACCTCAGTTGAGATTCAACGTTTTCGCACCTCTATACCCCGGGTATGAATGCCGCCGACCCAATTGTAATGCGACACTGAACCCCCTGGCAACTTGTTTTGACAAACTCCCCACTGGAATTTTTCTCACGTTTACAAGGCAGTAAAAGTTATTCCGTATGATCGAAAACAGATGTCAGAAGTTTGCGAAGTCGGTTAAAATTCTGCGTTGGATAAATTCGGAACTTTTTTAACGATGCGAGAAAATTATGATGAGAAATTTAATCAGATTTGTTGACAATAACCTTACCTCTACTCACCACATACTTTAATTTGCATTTTTAATCTTAGGAAACGCAAAAGCGAAGCACAAAACGAAAATTTACACAGAGTTCAACCTCCTAGCTTTCATATTTCTTTGACAGATCTTTCAGTTTGACGAAACGGTCACTTCTCCGTAAACTGTTTCCGCAAAATAAGCTGTAATAGCGCGCGTGAGGTCCAGCTTAATCAACTCAACGTCAGCGTTAGCTAGTCTTCAATTTTAATCAAATGAAATTGTCTGTGAATCGGAGTGATCCTGGGTGTTGAGAAAGTGTTTCCGCATAAACCAATGAATATGCAGGAAACTAATTTTGAAACAATAAAAAAGCGTTACTTGGAACAAGGTCGATTTTTGTAGGGGGCTTCTGATAAATCGTAACTTTGCATTCGTTGCCGAGTAATCCATCATTACGATATCCTTTCGTGTATTTTCTGCGATCAGTCGTGAAATTTCGCCAAATGATCACTTCTAAGTTGGCAGGTATGCTGTCACTACGGCAATCACGAACAACAACAAAATAATATCAGGCAAAGAAATTGAATTGGCTGAAATAACAACAGCAGCAAGAAATTTTAACTGAAATGTGTATTCCATTGCTTTTAATAGGTTAAGTTCAACAAAATTACGCTCTGCTGGTGACCTTACCAGTATTAACCAAATTCACAGCAGTGTTTTGATAGGAAACATTGCATCCTTCGCCGCCAAGTTTGTCAGGTAATACTGTAATTTTGCCTCACCAAACAATCAACGACAGCGTGAAAAAATTTTAATGCGGCTCCCACATGCTTCAACATGAAGACTACGTTGATACAACACCACTAGTTTATGTGAAATTTAAACTTCCCAATCCGGCCTTTTTGATTTTGCAGTGAGTTTGGTAACCGTTGGGAAATTTTTTTTAAAAAAGTATCTAAAACTCGGTAGTAAGAATAATTGTGCATTGTTCCTTGAAAATGTTTTTGCTTTTACGACAATGTGGGTCACTCTTTAATTTAACTGAAGAGGCTTGCCTGGAAAAAAATCACGCTCTGTTTCAAGTGCTAGAAAAATCTCTGAAATAGACGGAAGTTTTTCTTTCTTTTGAATGCTTTGGCCTCTTCCCACAGCTTGCTGTGTTTGTCCCACAAGTAGAGTTTTTAATTGCTTTCCCAGACGGAAATTGAAAACTGTGAAAGTTAATTGAAATCACAACTGTTGTGAACATACACGCGAAGTCGATTGACAAGATAACATTGAGTTTTTAATTTAGCATTATTCAAACTCACGTCTAGAATCTTGACTTGTCTTTCGCACGTATTGGGGTCAAATGCAACCTTTTATAAATCAATACCTCAGCTCTTTTGTTCAAAATTAATTGTCGAAGCTCTCGAAGCACTCCCTTGAATCACCGTCTTTGTCTTACAGTTAATTGCTCACACGACTTAGATCAAAACAATGGCTTACCTTCGTTGGAAATTATTAACTCTAAAATTCATTAGCACGTTTTAAAAGAATGCAATAAAGGCCGAAATAACGGCAGCAAGAAGTTTAAATTTCATATAATTTTTAAAAAAGTATTTTTAAGTTACTCATATTTAACGTTTTTTTTTTTTTTTTATCTCAATATTTAATGTTTTTGATATGCGTTTTAATAAGATACTAGCGCTCGTGGGCCATTTTAGCTAAATTTCTCTGTTATATCCAATCGTTTATAAATAATTTCTTTATTTCTAGATTTATTTCCTTTGGTTTGCGATTCCTATTTTATCATTTATGTGGTAATGAAAAATGAAATAAGAACTTATTACGTCGGCCATCTTCACAATCTTTTCTTTTATCGATATTATCTATACGTGTTAGAACTTGAGATGATCTGGTAAAGTAAACGGGCATAAACCTTTGATCTCATGGTTGGATCAAAAAGGGCTTAAAATGATGTCGCTGAGATTCACTGTGAACTGATATCGTTGTATTTCGGTCGGCAGTTGTACCTGCAAAGCCCTTCTTATTAGTCGGGTCGCTATAGCGAAATGCAATTTCAATGTCCTAGCCTACACTGTGAGCAGATCATGTCAAGATCTTCTCTGACAAGAAGCAAAGTAAGAGATTTTTACTGTCATCCAAAACAATGCAACTGACTCTGTTCACTGTAACAAGTAATATTGCGATGACTGAGCTTTACCTTCCAGGAATTAACGCAGATTATTGGTGACAGGTTCATATTATGAGAACAGGCGATTAATAATTGTTACTTAGCCGTGGAGATTATTATGAAGTGGACCTTGCCCGCTTTAGATTTATAAAGTTTCGAAACCTTAGAGACGCTGTGTGTTTCCAAAATTTCGGGTCTCTCTGGTGAATGTTAACTTAAATTAATCGACCTCAGTGAAAGAAATATATACTCAAACTTACCTCCTATTAAATGACGAATTTTTGCTCCTTTTTTCGCTATTCCCTCTTCTCTCTGGGAGATAGTTGTTTCAATATGCTCGTGTTACTACATACACTGTCCTCAGCGTGAAGCTAAAATACCCAACATGCGAAGTTACTTCAGATTTTGTCAGAAAAAATAATACTTTTTTAATCTGTTGACTCAGTACAGAGCGGCGCTTGTCAATCTAACCCTGACAGCCAACATAGAGCGAGACAATGGTGAAAAGAAAGGATTTAGGCGGAAACTTTCGCTCTGTTGACATTTTCTGCGCGTTTTCATTAAAAAGGCTATTTTTCGCCCCTATTGTGGAGGGCTTCGAACAGGAATATTAATTGCGACTAAAACACACAATTAGGGTTCGCCAATGGCGAGGCGTAGATGACAGCTGTTGTCAGAGATCAATGGCGTGCGCGTTTAACAGTCAAATCCCGATGTTTTCTTACGATTGTTGATTCAATTTACCTGCCGTTGCCAGCAGTCATCGTGGAGAGTCCGTGATTAGCAAGCGCTTGTGAAATCCTTGCCGTCAAATTCAAGCGACAAGGATGGGATTTTGAATTTCAAAAAAGACGACAGTTTAAAACTCAATAAGACCCGCTTAGCGTCTGAAAGCCGGGTAACGTTCAAGACGTTGAAGATCGATCAAGCAGAGCATTGTCATGGAGAGCGCAAAAATTCCCATGCGAGGTAAAGTTAAAGATGCCGAAGCTGAGGCATTGCTAAAATTGCTTCGACGAGAAAAGGAGTTTAATGATCGGTTCTCGGCGCCGCAAATTCATCAGAGGACTCCTTTACCCGCAATAGGAGGCAGTGGTAACAACACCGAGACACAACAAATTACAAGTTGCGACAGAACAAATGGAGCATTCCTGACACAAACATTTGAGAATGAAACTGGCTTCTCCAATTCCGACATTGGGCATAGCAAGGAGTTGGTTAATGACTCAAAATATTTATGGTCATCAAAACCAGACGTGAACAGTAATTCTCAACCTCCTTCGTCTTCAAAAGAGTTCTACATTCCCCCGTTCACGTGGAAAGGAGAGCAAAGTTCGTGCTACTCCAAACACGAACGACAAAGACATGGACGAACTTTGCCACCCCTTGAAATACCCGTTAGTCCCTATTCTTACCTTCCCGAACGTCCCTCGTGTCCTAGACCAGAATCACCGAAGTTCTGGGAGGATTAATTTAACTTCGATTGGAAACTTTCAACCCGTGCAGACGGTGAGCTTGGGTTAACAAACCTTGACGTGTTCAAATGTGTTTTCCCGATGTGGAACAAGTTTGTAATATGCCTGCTCTTTTGGCGAATGTGTCAAGTTCAATTTCCATCTTTGAATAGAAAATTCCGCTGGATAGATCTCAGCGCTACAACATAGTGTGAAGTTAATAAGAGTTCATTGCGACATTCTTTAAGAAGCAAACTCTCGTTGAAGGAAAGGGAAGGAAAACACCGCTGGGTGTAATTTCGCATATCGTCTTATGGATCTTTCAAACATCTGTACATAGATACATTGATACCTTATCATACGATAAGAAAGTCATATGTTGTGCGCCTCAAGAAGTTAATTAGCTTTCTTGGTCGGTACAATTCAAAACTAATCCAATTGTTGGATAACGTAGTGACATAAAAACATGGAGAACTGTGGTTGGCAAAGAACTCTCACTGGGTTTTGGAGTTTCGTGGGCTGAAATCAATATGACTTTAGCAATCTTCCTCTGGACACTTTTACTTGTAACAATGAATTCAGATGTCAAGATCTGGGTTATGAAATTTGTGGTTACAAGGATTTTGAACATGAAACGATTGACACTAATTCCCAAGAACAACAAAACCCGATAAAAAACCCTCAAACTCAAGTACTTGGAACCAACGGGTTCGCGAGTTTCCACGGCGACGTGATCTTATTTTTAAACTAATTTTCTGGGATTGATGACTAACAGTGTCAACCGCAAAGTAACAGGAAACTAAAATAACAGGTACAATTTGTCACAAGACAATTCACGCGGCCATCCATCTTAAAATAAAAGTTACGACCTTGCTTTGGTCTCTCTTCAAAACATCAAGGGGGAAAGTTGAATCAGTCGCAACGGTAGTTTGAGTTCAAAGTGGTTAACTTCGCTAACTTTCTGCTAATGTGAAACTATATCCCCAATAAACGGTCATTCATTTCATTTGCTATTCTTGTTTCCCAGCACGATTTTACGAATGTTTACTTTATTCGAAGGGAAACAATTGGATATTTTTTCACTAAAAGGGTTCGATGGTTGGCGCAAGTTACGAACGCTGCACGTAAGGTAGTTAAAAACAAAACAAACAAAAGTTGAAACAAGGAATAAAAGAGTCGAAAACTATAAAAGACTTTCAAAATGTGGGTTCTTCTTTCAGTTTTGAAGTCGTGTTTGTGTTACGAGTTTCGTATGTTAATCGACCTTCACACGAGTTTCACATTTGCATAATTGAACTCGAGTTTGTTCGAGATCCTTGTGTAAATAGTAAAACAAGTAAAAGCACTTGAGTAAAACCATTAATGGGTTGCAAATTAGTTTGAAATCAGATGTTGCAACCGGATAGACAATTTTAGAAACAGTGGGCAGTCATTTCTAAAAGCGAGACAGCTTTGCATCTGCCCTCACGAAAAGCCCTTCTATTTGCTTCTTCTTATCGTTTGCTTAGTTAATAAAACAGACTTACAGTAAAAATAAAACCACACAAGGTATTTCTAATATAATTGCAATGGAGTGATACTAATTTACAGTCAGCCCTTTCCAAAAGGACGCGCAGTTTGTGCGTAGAAACATAAGTGAATACTTAAATTACTTGGCGAACACTGAGTGAAAAGAAATATGAAAGAATAACCTAGAAGTCCAATTCGCGTGTTTTTCGAGACGAAATTTACGCTGTCGACTTAAGCTTCGTTTCGTATTTTGTTTGAACTGCGAAATATCTTGTCTTAAACAGAATTAGCGATTTCGTGAGAATCCACTGAGGTTGTTTACTGAACTGAAGCCAATTATCAACATCAACTGTTTAACTGTTTTAAATGTGCCCTTTTTTGATGCCCGTTTTGATGCGCGTTGTGTATCCAGCGAAATTTGCTTGGTAGACGTTTGAAATTCAGTGTTCAACATTAACCCTTTCAAGCTGTTTATACTGCGAAGTTGTCGCCGGCGTTGGATAGAGGACCTTCACGAGCAAGGTGGTGAGAGAAAGAAAAAGTTGGTAACAAAAAAAATTTGATGAAAAGCAGTGTTTCTTTATGGTCGCCTGGTGTGAATATTATAAAGAACTTTGAAACAGTGAGGCCATTATACGAACGATCCGTGAAAACAAATTAAACCCGCCAGCAGTTGAAATAATTGAGACGACGAGGGCTGATAACCGCTGATAGAACGCAAAACGGCAATGTAGAGTCCAAAATGAGAAAAAATGAAACTGTGGACACCTCTTTTTTTTTATAATAGCAAATACTGCACATGGCGATGACCTTACAGCGATTTGTTCTTAAGGAGGTTTATGTATATCTTCGGTTTTCGATTGGCCGTTGACTTTAAGTGTGCATTAGCTAATTGTACTAAAGTCTGATCAAGGAGGCTTTTGTAAACAGTTTAAGGTGACACACGTGGAATTTAAAGTGAAAACATTAATGAACGGCAAATAAGTTGTAACTCAAAGCGCGAAAATAGTTAACTTTCCCTAATAAGGCAACCGTCCTATGCAGGAAAAGGTGGTCACAGCGGAAACAGCGGCAAAGTTAGTGCGATGCTTGTGGAATGGGGACGACAATATTTCCATAGTAAATGAATAAAGGGGATAATTTTCTAAAGAAACTGTGGTGCTGCGTCGGTGGGAGAGTATAACAGGGTAATTTAGTATTATCAACTGAGTTGCTAAGTAAATTGGCCACTGTAAACGGTTTTAGAGCTGACATTTCAAACAATGCTTTCATTCGCTCTGACGGAAGGCTAACGCTCGAAACGTAAGCTCTAAAACCTTTTACGGTGGTCGTACGTTATCAACTCAGTTGATATTACATAATTACCCTATTTCCACAGTAACACTATCAACACAAAATGGCGGCATTTTGAAAATTCCCATTGCTTGTTTTCAGCTTATGTTTGCAAGGGAAGAATCGTGGCATGCGCACTTATTTCCCTGCTGTGTCGTCGCAGCTGTCGAATGCTTGCGTATATGCGAACATTAGAATAATTGAGAATCTTTCTGGGAGGTCCAATATACATGTAATGCTTTCATGCCAAGAAACTTCACCAATCATTGAGTCACAGTGTTTTAAAAGCGTATAACTTTAAATAAGGCTCAAAACAAAGTAGTTAACGAGCAGAAAAATTTGATATACTTTGTGCACGAGAAGTCTAAAGTTTTCCTTTTCCCAACTTTTTTTTTGTCTCGCCGATTTCTAGGAACATTCAAAATTTGTTTTGTAAATTTTGGTTAAGGTGATTCCTCAGTTTTGCGCCGCGCATATTCTATTGCGCATTGAAATAACGTAATCAGGGGAATGAGCGCACGCGCATTTCGAGAATACGGTATTGTTTTTCAATCCATTTATTTTTGCATAATTTCGGTGTACAATTGATCCCATTTAAATTGGGGAAATTAAAAAAATTATATTGGAAGGGAAGAAAAGATAAAGCGTGCATGAAGCCCGTCACACGAGGATACAAATTATGACCTTGAAAGGAACGACTCCAGGAACGTTTTGAGTCGTTTGGTTGATTTTCCTACAACTTAGATATCAAATTATTTCATACGCTCGAGACTTTCTACTTATCAAGTTTTTTTAAATTTGTTTTAAAAACTTCCTGCTGCAGCTAATTGCACCGTGAACCAATGAATTGACGCGCGTGATTTGTGCCAGGCATAAATGGGGTATGTTTGGCCCACTATATCCCCTAAACAAGCACGGCGACCTTTATTTTTTAATTGTATTTTTCGAAACAGGCATTAGTAGGAAACTTTTAAAGGAAGTTTTCAAAAAAAAATTGCTTTATTTCTGAGGAATCACCTTGAGAGAAACAAAACAATTCTTTCAGAAGATGGTCGCTCTTGGGAAGCTGTCATAACGAGAAAGTTGAATGTATTTCTGAAAACCTTCCTGTGAGAATTCGATTCCCAGCCGACTACACAAAGCTTAATCGTACGCATTTTTCACAGGAAATGAAAAAAAAGGGCTATTAATTTCACTGGCTCTTAACTCAAACCAAGTGCGTCGCTCATGTGTAAATTGAAAAATATGAAAAATGAAAAAAAACGCTAACCTTACTTGGCCGACCCAACATTAAAGAGAATACCTTTTCACTATTCTATCTTCTAACAAACAGGATGAAGTTGTGCTACATTTTTTCCATATCCACGATCTCATGGTATTCTTCCAATCTAAAAATCTAATTAAAAAAAAAAATCCTCAATCCGTGAGTTATGTAAGCCAAGTCTGCACATTCGAAAACCTCTTAACCTTCGTCAATGCGTTGTAGAAGAGGACGAAGATCGAAAACAGGTGCCATGAGAAATTGTTAAATGGCAAAAGAATATTCAACTGCTAAACGGTCCACCCAGCCAGTATGAGAGTCCGCAACAATTAGGGCTCTGAGGCTGTAGAGGCGCTAAGATTGCTCGAGTCTGAGTCAGGGACTAGGACTGGTGGTGAAGACTGGAGCGAATTTAAGGCTCGGCAGCTCAGGGACGCGAAAGAAGTGCTTAGATTTGATTTCGAACAAACAAGTCTTCCTTTACTCTGAACAAACAGGTACAAAAAATTAAGGGATTTGGACAAGTGATTTATTTACTAAAAGGTCTGCTTCTTCTCTGCAATAGTGGGTATCCATGAGCTCAATTAGTTAAAACATATGCAAATAAATGCTAAATATTCCTATCATTTGCAGAAAAAAAAAATTGTTCGTGGTCAATGTTATCCTATCCTAGCAGCAAAATTATCCTCTCCTATTGCAGCAAAATTAGACTTGTTTCGAATTGTTTTATTGCTCTCTGTTGACCTTTGTGACAGATGTAGAACACATGTTCAACATTTTCGTCTTATACGTGAGAAATGACATTCTACTACAGATTATGTCGGTAATCTATGACGTACAAACTAACAAGTGGCGTGAAATTCACAATACCACTGAAGGCTTAACTGGATTATCTGGTCTCACGTAATCATAATTCCTGGCTTTAGTAAAACACGTACTGGTCGGAACACCCATGCGAGCGCAGCTCATTGAAGATGCGAGTATCGCCTAGGCCTGTCCCGATTATGCTTGTAAAATGCAGGAAAGTTGCTCACTAGAAAGCAAAAATTGCGGAAACCTTGCCAAAAATCCAGAAAGTTTGTACCTATTTTTCAAAAGTTGCCGCCAAAATTTCTTGATCTTCTATGTAAACGTAGATTAAAAATTTTATTTTTCGTTATTCACAATAATTGCTAACATTGGTCTTGAAAAAAAGCTTGAAACTTAGCTTTAAAGAGTTTTTCGCAAATATTGGTGAAATTTAGGTATTCTTAAGTCTAATGGGATAAAACACATGGTTCATTTGACGTCCTGCCGAACGTCATCTTAGCCAATTATCCGCTTTAGTAATAGGCAAAGATCGCTATAGATCTGCGAAACTTTGTCAAGTGACAGATTATATATTAGTTTTTCATGAAATTGTTTACACGCTTGATATGTGCTCTTAACCCATATTTTTCTCAAAAATTGCTCGAAGTTACTGGTATCTCCACTAAATTTGAATCAACAATTACATTGTGATATCGTCATGAACTGTCTTCCTCCATTATCAGATAATGAAAAGAATAATTGTTTTAGTGATGTACACACTCGCACACGAAGTTTCAAAACGAAGATATAGCGCACAAGATTTAGATTTGAGTGCTCGATCATTTCTTGCGATCAGCAAGCTGTGACCGATCCGTGAAAACCCAAACGGTACATGCGCAAAATGGATTTCCAAATCTGGTCACCATCCACTGATAATCTTGTGAAAAGCTGACGCACATGACAAATCCAGGCCCCGTCTTGATGCAGAGGACACAGGACGCGTCACAATAGAGCACCGCCTCATTAACCCATTGTTTACCTCGTTCTTTCGTCTTTTTGTTTTCTACTGGTTTATGTTAATTGTGTCTACTATATTAAGAAAAAGCCTAAATCCATAAGATGTCAACATTGATAGTTAGTTTAAGTTTTCGCAGGATAATTTTTAGCACATTTTTCAAACGAATGTCGAATAAGCCCAGGATTGCTTCCGTCTTCGGTGTTAAAAACCAATCGCAGCTTGCTCACTCTCGTTATTCACACGTGCCTGGAAACGTGAGGGAAAAAATTTTGCATAACAAATTACTTTGTAAGGATGACTAGCTCAGTCTTTTGGTACCACAACGTTCTGTCTGGACAACGTTTGAAAAGTAAATCT